AGAACTACAGGCATGCGCCACCATGCCTGGCTAATTTTTTCTATATATTTTTAGTTGTCCGATTAATTTCTTTCTATTTTTAGTAGACACGGGGTCTCGCTCTTGCTCAGGCTGGTCTCGAACTCCTGAGCTCAAGCAATCCTCCCGCCTCAGCCTCCCAGAGTGCTAGGATTACAGGCGTGAGCCACTGCGCCCGGCCACCTTACATTAGGTTTTGACTCATATTTGGAATACAGCAATCTTACAATAACCCAGTGACCCAGTGAGGGAAGTTCTGTCACACCCTCTTACGCAGGAGGAAACTGAGGTCTACTGAGATCAAGTACCTTCCCCAGTTCCTCAGCTCATAAATGGCAGAACCCAGGATGGAATCTGGGGTTGGGTCCCCCAGAACTAGGCAGATCCGAGAGCTCCGTGGAGACTGTGCCTTCCTGGCCTAATCTCCCTAGGGCCCGGTCCTGATGCCATCATGGGCTTCCTCAAAGATCCCTAAAAGCAGAACAGAGGGGTCCCCCTGGGCTTGCAATCAAGGCTCTCTGTCCCCTGGTCCTATCGCTTCCCACCCTCTCCACACCCCCTGGGCTGCTGGGAACCGGCTGCAAGCACTCGCTTCTCTGCCCCGGGGAGCACATGTGTTTTTCTTTCCATGACTGTTGCAGCCCAATACAAACATTAATTAACTCATTCATTCATTCACACATGACCTGGTCATTGGTCAGCTTTGCTGTAAAACTCTGCTAGAAGAAATGGAACAGAAACCACCTACTAACGGTGGACCCAGTGATATACAGCCTTGAAAGCTTAAGGTGTTGGAACCTGTTGGCCAACCTGCCAAGCAACCTACCCACTTACTCTGTCCTCCCACACCCACGCCTTCGCACTTTCTCTGTACAAGACCCCACCTATTCGTTACAGCTGTGATTTTCAACCTTGAGCGAGCATCAGAATCCCCTGAGGGCTTGTTAAAACCCAGCTGGCTGGGCTGCACTGGCAGCGGGGACTCAGCAGCCAGGGGTGGAGCCCGATAATTTGCATTTCTAACAAGCTCCCAGGTGATGCTAATGCTGCTTGTCCAGGAGCCACACTTTGAGAGCCACTGCATACTGGGGTGGCTGACAACCTCCCTCAGGTGGACGTGTCTGCCAGTTCACGCTGTATCTCCCAACAGCCCTGTGAATTTGGGCTTCTTAGTGCCTCTTTGTACATGAGGAAATAAAAGTTCAGCAGAAAGGGCAGATGAGACCAAGGTCTCACCGAGTTTGTTCCAGAACTGGGCCTGAAGCCAAAGCCTTTGGCCTCTGTCTTGCCAGCCTCAAAGCTCTTACCACTCATCTTCCTGCAGCCACAGCCCCATCACAACAGCCGCAGCAATGCTGACATTAACAGCTACCATTTACTGACCATTTATTACGTGCCAGGCACAGAGCTCAGCTTTTAATCTATCTTGACTAATAGCATGCTCACAACCACACTATGAAGGATTATTCTAACCCCTAAATCAGATGAAGAAGGTAAGTCCAGAGAGGTTAAGTCACTTTCCCAAAGTCACACAGCAGCTAGCTGACGGAGCTTGCAGTAGAACCAGGCAGTTTGATTCTGAAGCCCATGTACTTAATCCCATGCTGTTCTACCCCTGTACCTAACATGAAGGTCATGATCACTACAGCTACCATATAATGTGCCTCCTTTTTGTCTGGCTCCAGGCCAAATGAATTTATCATCCATTTAGTTCTTACAATAAACCTTTGAAGAAGTTATTATTGTTGCCATTTTTAGTGATAAAAGAGCCAAAGCATGAAGAGACAGGTGTGTGCTGGTCAGGGAGTAATGTGTGGACAGGTGACCCTTGGGCCTTTAGCCATCTTCTTGGAGGAACGGTGGGAGGGGCAGTCTCCCACGGACACAAACACTCATGGAATTTCTAATGGCTTGCTGAGAGTCAGGAGCAGAATGCCTTCCCTGTTCCCGGCAGACAGCTCTTGGAAGGCTCAGCATATGTGGCCCTGGGAGGAAGATGCTGCACGTAGCAGAGCATGTTCCCAGCATCCTTGGGTAACCCAGGGAAGGAAGAAATGAGCGCCACGTTCCTGGCAGTGATGCTGCGGCTGGTCCAAGACAGAGGGCGCTGGGAGGGGCAGGGAAGAGGACAGGGAAATGCAGTGCCATGCAGGGGCTTGGATGGTGGCCCTGGGTCTCTCTCTGCCACTTGGGTTGGCTTTCGGAAATCATTTCTCCCTCCTATGCAGCAACTGAACCCCCTTTGGGGCTGGTCCTGAGCTCTGGGCCCTTCCTGTAACAAAGGCCTCTCTCTGGAATGGACGCACCCTTTCTCCATCCACCCTCCCGCCAGGTGGAAGGAGAGCGCTGGGCTAGCAGCCAGGACACCTGGCTCTGGCACTGCCACATTCTAGCTGAGGGACCCTGGCCCAGTCACCTAACTGCTGCGGGCACTGGGTCGCAAAGTCACCCTTGACCAGCTTCTGGGGTGAGTCCTGCCTTCTTTTCACACGTCCTATTTCACTTCATCTTCTTGACAATGCTGTGAGTTTTATGGAAGAAAAATCAGTGTTTTTTTTCCTCTGGCTGAGGCAGTCTGGGACTGGGCTGGCCTTTCGGTAACCCTGTCAGTATGGAGCAAAGCAAACCCCGGCCTCCCCCGAGGCTTCGTGCCTCTACTCAGAGGATGGGTTTCCCTCTGGGAACAATGCTCAGAGACCTTCCTGATGTCTGCTCCCCACCCTCCTGGCTCCATGGACATGTGACTGCAATTGACCAATCAGAATGCTGCAAGGGACCAGCAGGCCAATGAAGACTCCACATGGGATTGCTACAGGATGAGGGGAAAGAGGAACTTCCTTTCCACAGCTCTGCTGGGGCTCTCCATGAAAGAAAGCCTGCCCGAGGGGGAGGCCAGCCCAGACGAAAGCAGAGCCAGGGGATGAGAGACTGAGCCTGTGAGACGGGTCAGTCCTGCATCCAGCCAGGCCTGTAGGATCTACCCTGGAATTTCATTTGGGTGGGCCCCATCAGTTCTTGCTTTGTGCTTAAATCACATTGACTAGGATTTTGGTCACCTGTAACCAAGAATCCAGACTAATGCGATGGGGCAAGAGGAAAGGGGGAAGGTGTGGGGACAGGCAGCGGCTGGCTCATGAAGCTAGCTGGAGGCCGAGCTGTGGAGTTAAAGACTCATGCAGCCTCTAGAACTGGGAAGATTCTGACCTCTACGCAGGAGAACTTTGCTGAGAGAGACACACACACGCAGAGAGAGACAGAGAGATGGCAGGAGGAAGGAACAGAGAAAGAATCAATGACTCTTACAGAAATTTCAGAGCTGCTGGAACATCTTTTCTAGGGTTTTCCCATCAGGATAGACAGCCTGGTTTGGAAACAGAGCCAAATTATTTATCCCTCAGCCCTGACGGCACATATCGATTTATCTTAATTTCTGAAAACACACTTATGCCTTTCAGACCATCTCTTCTCTCTGTCACCAAGAAGAAAAGGGGTTTAGCAGAGATTAATCGGAGAGAATTTGGCCCTTGGTAAATGCCCGGCGCTGGCTGAGACAGAACACCCGTAATCCAGGGAGGCGCTGCCAGCAGATGAATGCGCTCGCCTGTTCCCCGCGGCCTGCGGGCAGGCTTTCCGCAGGGGCCTGCGAGACAATGCTCTGGCAGATGGTCTGTCGCTGGCTCTGGGAACTCGCCTTCCCAAAGCCAGGAGAGAGGACGCCAAGGGAGAAAAGTCTCCTTTCCAGGCCACGGGAGCCTCCTCATTACACCGTCTCATTTCCTCTGGAGAGTGACGGGCATAATTGGATCAAATGGAAACACAAACCAGCCTCCCCTCCCCTCCTGGATGAGAGACTTCCAACATGGCTTCATTACCGAGTCCTTTGTAAACAAACTGTGTGGAGAAAAATGTGGTTTGTTCTGCCATAAGTGCCGATGGGCATCAGTGGTTGGGTCTTTGAAACACACAGAATGAATGAAATCATTTTGGGTTTAGAAATTCCTCTGGGCAAATCTTTCTCCATTCACTGTTCTCCATGGAGGGGGTGTCTGAAGGGGGGACTTCTAGACCCAGGAGCCAGTTAGGAGCTTGGAGGCTGATTCTGCCCAGTGCAACACCTGCTCTGATGATTCATTCAACCAACAAATATTTATCAAGTGTCATTTCCATTTCAGGCAACCGTTTAGGTACTTGGGACACAGTGGTGAGTCAAACGCAGAAAGATCCCTCTCCTATTGAAGTTTACGTTCCGGTGAGAGCTCACAACTCAGATGTGTCTATACTGAGAACAAACTTGGAAGACTACTTCATAAGTCAAGCTTGTTTAACTGACAGATTGGAGAACTGTGAAGTTAAACTCTTCTGATTCTTTGTGTGTGTGATTTCACTGTACTCACGAGGATGTTACATTTGGAAAACCAGACTACATGGGCTGGGGATACTAAATGAATGACGTATGTGCCATCACCCAGCAAAGCTGCACCCATGGCAGACATCACTAATCAATTACTACTCTTTCTGATAAGCTTGGATGCAGCCTCACAATACTTATCAACACAGACCTGGGCAGCCCCTACCAATGGATCAGAGTTGGCTGGGAGAGAAAACTGATTTGCTATTTTTGACTTAGACTGTTACTAATTTGATTCACTAAGAGGTTGCAGAATATCTAAGTAAATTAGGAATAACCCCAGGAAGAGGCAAAGACTGAGAAGAAAGGGTGAGAGACGGCAGCCAACTTCTTAGGCTAGTTTTCCTCTCAACTGCTTTTCCTGATGTCCTAGCAGAGGCCCATGAAACATAGTGGGTCAGAGCATGGGCTTTGGGGTCAGGCAGACCTGGGTTCGGGCTCCGGTTCTATTATTTCCAACTGTGTGGGGCCTTGGGCTGAGCTCTACTTGCCTCCCCTCACTAGGAGGGCACCTGCCAGGACAGGCACCAGGGGGCTGTGCCAAGGAGAGGGGGTTTCTGAAGAGCTGGCTCACCTTGAACGAGATTTCATACTGCTCCCCTCCCCAGATCTCCAAGCCTGGGTCGTACCCGCCCAGCTCCCAGAACCACTTCCGATCCACGGCGAACAGTCCACCGGCCATCACGGGAGACCTGTCAGAGAAGAAGAACGTGGTGTGACGATGCAGATGTCCTGGCCACGTGCTCCTCGTGCAGCCTGAGAACTCTGTTCCCACAGTGACAGCGTCCGTGCTGCCCTGTGAACACAGCCCACGTGTCTGCCAGGGAACCCAAGCCCTTCTGAGTGAGGCTCCAGGCTCTCCTCTTTTTTGCCTACACTTCCCTTCGCAAGTGCTGCATTTTAACCAAATGGATCCCAAGTTCCTTTATATGATTAACACCCAAGGATACTTGTGAAATGAAATCACAGTACACTTTTCCCCATGGGCCTGCTAGTTGGATCATATACGTGTATATCTTTAGTCCTTCCACGAAACGGTCTGAGTCAGGCCTCTCCGAGCCTGTCCATGCTGTAGAATCTCTCAGAGAGGGAAATCCAGCTTGTGGCCCCGCCTCAGACCTACTGAAACAATCTTGGGGGGTGGCACTTGGAGTCCCTGTTTTCAAACATGCTCCTTTGATGATTATTACTTAGCAAGCCCAGCAGGGACATCTGTTCTGCTGTGACGTTTATAGAAGGAGCCACAGTCTCTGTTCTGTCAGTTGAACTGGGAGAGGAGGTTCACTCCGTTCATTCATTCTCTTATTAGTGTGTTCACTGAGTGCCAGCTGCAGAGCAGGTGCTGGGTGGGTATTGAGAAGATTGAGGTAAATCAGAGGCCTTCGGGGGCAGCCACCTCAGCACAGAAGGATCCAGAAGATTGGTGTAGTAAGGGCCTCTGGGAGGTGCAGAGCACTGCAGGAACGCGAAAGGAGCCTGTCTGCTTCCAGCTCTCAGGGGTGAGCAGGGAGCAGGGGCAAGGGAGGGTGCGCAGGGGAGGTGGCATTTGAGTGGGTCTGTGCACAGTGTAGCTGGGGGGAGGGAAGGACCGGGAGGAGAAAAACCACATAAACAAGGGCGCAGAGATGATAAATCGTGTGGTACCCACGGGGCCAGGGAGTCAGCATGGCATCGTGCTAAGTCCAAGGGGCTGCCTCACACAAGGCCGGCACCCGGTAGGGGCCGACCCGCCTTTGCTGTGTGACAATCTATCAGAGAGTGGCTGCGTCCTTGTCCAGCTCCACTGGAAGACTCCAAACCCTCACACCAATGCACTCCGGCGGCAACCTCCACTCCCACTCCCAGCCCGGGGAGCCGCAAGCTCACGGCCAGGGGGCTGATTTAAAAGACCTCAGCTAACCCACAAGCTGCCCAGGCCTCCCTGTAGCAGAAGAGCCTCTGCAGCACAGGCGGCGACTCCTTCACAAAGGGAGCCCCTCGAATGTCTGCCGAGGGCTCGAACATGCCAGGTGCTGTATCGAACTATTTATTAATAAAACGAATTCAGTCCTCCCCTCGACCTCTTGCGCAGGCCTCCTGAGCGGCACCCCCTCTTCGGCACCCCCCCTGCAGCTGGAGAGCAGACAGGAACTCGATCCAGGCCCCGCGGCTAGTAAGCAGCGCTGCTGGGGTCCGAATCTTTAATCCGAGCCACAGTCCACACCCCTTGCCAATACAATATGCCGCCTCCCGTCAGGAAGGAACAGTCCAGAAGCAACAGATACATGAAAAGGACAGGGGACCAGAAACTAAGAACCCCCCTCCCTCTTCTGTGTGACCGAGATGCCGTGTTCAACCATCGACCCTGTGCTGCCCAGTATGGTGGCCGCGGGCCACAGGTGACAACCGAGCACTCGAAACGGGACAGGTCTGAACTGAGATGTGCCGTATGAGACACACGCTGCGTCTCCAAGACTTAGTAGGAAGGAAAGAGCACGAAAGAACTCATCGATAATTTTAAAGTGTTGGTTACATGTTAAAATGATCGTATTTTGGATATACTGGTTTAGATAAAATATATTATTAAAACGAATTTTAACTGTCTACCTGTTTTTAAAAAAATAAAATTACATATGTGGCTCACATTATATTGGATGATTTTGATTAAAACTCTTTGAGCCTGATTCTCCCTCTACGCAGTAGAGGTATGGCTATGCTTCCTGTCCTACATTGGTAGTATATTTCTAAAAGTTTCTAGTACTACAAGAAAATAAGGTGTTATTAGTATCGACTCCCCTTTGTCTTCTGAAGATTGTGGGGTTTCGGGTATTTTGGCTGTAGCTGCAATTGTACTGCTTGGAGAGGCCGAGAGTGTTTCTAACTTGGTGCTTCGTGGGAAGCCAAACCTAGGGCTCTGCACGTGGAAATCAGCCTGGGTGGAAGCCAGTGGCAGGGGCCGAGAGCTGTGAGGAACAGGCAGGATATTCACCATAAGGAATTTGGGGTGCTCGAGGCTTTGCCCGCAGAGGGAGGCCTGTCCTTCAGCCTGTCCTGTTTTCTGCTGTGTTTAGCAATACTGGTGACAATGCCGAGGGTCCAGTGTGTGCCACTCACCTTCCCAACACTATCTCTAGTTTTCACAGTGCTCTAGGACTAGCCCCCTTTTCCGGTGGAGAAATTAGAAATTCAGAAATGCCACATAATCTGCTCAAGGGCATGCAGTTACTAAGTGGATGAGCTGTGCTTCAAACTGGGGTCTGTGATTGAAACCCAAGTCTTTTAAACATCATTACACCATGCTGTGCCTGCAGATTGCCCACTCGCTGGGCACGGTGGGAAAGTGTGCAGAAAATGACCAGGATTCCTCTATTTGCTGCTCCCCAGGGTTTTGTCCGGCTACAATACAGAAGAGAGACTTCTGGAAGGAATTGGGAAACAAAGGCTGGAGAGTCCCTCAGAAAGCATCTAGGCGAGTGGCTCTCAACCCTGGCCACACAGCAGTGTCACCTGGGAGTTTCACAAACAATGATGCCCGTATCCCACACCCGGAGTCCGGCGTAACTGATCTGGAGGGCGGCCAGGCATTGTTTACAAGCTCCCCAGATGATGCCACTGTGCAGCCAGCATTGACAGCCACTGCTCTAGGGCGAGGCCTGCCACTTCAGTGTCCCGACGAGGACGCCGAGGCCCACAGGACACTGGCTGAGCCTCCGCTACCGGCCAGCGACATGAGCTGGATTACACTTTCCTATCATGCAGCGAGGACGACAGAAGGGCCAAGACCCATCCTTAAGAACCTGTCGAATCCAGGGCCAGTGAGTCTGCTTGTTGCAAAGGTTCGCACAATAAAGGGCGTTCTGATGACCCCCTGGCCACCCTGAAAATCCCATTTTCTGGAGCAGCCCATTCCAACCTCAGCTTCTGCTGTCATGTCATCTCGGGTAAGTCTCTGAAGCACATCATCTGCATCGGTCAAATGGGGACAGCTCTACTCACTCCTGAGGACGCTGTCATGAGGATCATGCACAGTGATGTCAGTAGAAAGTGCTTCGCGATGCAGGCGGAATGTTATCAATAGTCACTCCTGTTACTACTATCATGTTCCAGGGGTTTAGTCAGCTGAGGGTTGACTCTGAGGCCATGGAGGGTGGGGGCTGAGTGCATGATGTGGTCCCGGCTGAACTGTATCTTTGGACTAGGAAGGGGTCTAACAGCAGCGACTGACGGTGTTTAAGATACAGGAGATCAGGAGGAAACCACAGGCATCTGACCTGCTGAAGGGGACATGGGACCTGCTCCTGCCCTGCACCCTCGGCTCAGGCTGCTCCGTCACGCTGGCCACTTTTCATGTCCTCAGAGAAGCCCAGCTCTTCCCCCTCAGCCTTCCCTGGAGCCCGCAGTGTTAGGGGCTCCCCTGGGGAACCCTGGGTATGCGCTGTGCCCACGAAAATGGCTGAGCTGCCAACAGCCCTGCTTGGCAGATGGGAAGGGTCAGGCACAGAGAAGTGGGGGTTCACTGGGGGCTAAACTGTGGTGAGGGAGGTGTGGCCCCCCAAGGATGTCAGGGTCCTAGTCCCTGGAACCTATGAATACATTACTGTACACGCAAAAAGGACTTTGATGATGTGATTAAGGGTACGGATCTCGGGCTGGGGAGGTTATCCCGGTAAGCCCAACGCGATCACGCGCAATCGTGTCATCGCAAGGGCTTACGAGTAAAAGAAGGAGGCAGGAGCGTCAGAGAAGGAGATGTGGTGATGGAAGCAGAGGGGTGTGTGTTGGGAGGAAAAAGAGAGAGAGAGAGAGAGAGAGAGAGAGAGAGAGAGAAACAGAGATTGGAGGATTCTACGCTTCTGGCTTTAAAGATGGAGGAAGAGGCCACGAGCCAAAGACGTGAGCATCCTCTAGAAGCGGGGAAGGGCAAGGAAATGGATTCTCCCCTAGAGCACCCAGAGGGGACGCAGCCCTGCCGACACTGTGATTTTAGCTCAGGAAGACTCATCTCAGACTTCTGACCTCCAGAATTTTAAGAGAATGCATTTGTGTTGCTTTAAGCCACTAAGTTTGTGGTAATTTATCGCAGTGGCCGTAGGAAACTAACACAGCAGGAGAGCCTGGACTGGGGCTTTGTACCCGAAGATCTTCTCCACACCTCTGGCAGGAGGGCTGGAACGGCTCACATGACAGCAGTGGGAGGGCGAGCCTGCTGCGGAAGAGAACACCCTTGCAGAGCTCGGAGCATCAGAAAGGGGCTGGCCTCTATTTCTGGCTTAGCTCCGAACTCACTGTGTACCTCAGGGCAAGCACCTCCTTCCCCTGGGGCCTCTGTCCTCGTCTGCAAGGGTCCGAGTCCTTCATTTGTATTAACAGTTCCTTCCAGCTTTCACGTTCTAGGATGCTGTGAGTCCAGTGCCCCCCAACCCGCCCACGATCAAGCTGTTACCTCCTTAATATTCTGACGGGTACAACAGAATGATGGGAACGCTGGCTCCAGAGGCAGACAGACCTGTACTGCTCCTAGCCTTTGCCACTTACTAGCCGTGTGACCCAGGAAAGTTACTCAGCTTCTGGGAGCATTGGTGTCTCCATTTGGAAAACATGGGTAGTAATTTTTGGTATTGATATGAACCAATAACATGGCTGTTGGGGGTTAAATTGGATTAGGGTGGAGGGTGCTCAGTGCTATGCCAGCACCTGGCGATGACGATGGTTACAACTGGGTGCCAGGTTTGAGGAAGAGGGCATGAGAAGCTGTACTCACCCCTGCTGGCAATCCTGGCAGACTGCACAGAGGTGGGTAAGGTGGACATGACCAGCCTGGTGGTCCATGAGCTCAGGCTCTGTGACAAGCTGGGAGAGCTGGTGCTTCTGGTTGGGGACATTTGGTACTGAGCCGGGCTGGGAAGCTGGACCCTCTGCACTGGGCTTTTGAGGGAGAAGGTGGTCCTGAGTTGTACGTGTGTTGGGGTGGGGTCTTGAGCTGGATTGCTCATACTTACTCAAATGGGTCACTAGGGTCAGCTTTCTGCAGTTCTGGAGGGATCGGGATCCGCTTGTAGTACATCTCCCAGTCAAAGGCGCCCCGCATGGCATCCCCTGCTTGTGTCTCGTACCGAAAGTCATCATGGTCAATCACGTCGATCATGGGGCACACGATGGTCTTGCGGTTCCGAGCGATTCGGTCTGAAGAAGCCAAGAGATGCCCGTTAGGTGAGGCAGGGTAGGGTGAGCGGCTAAGTGCATGCTGCATTCTGCAGCTTACTTGCATTTTTAACATGTTCCCTGGGTGATGTCTCTGAACACTCGAGTTTGAGACGGAAGGGACAGTGCAAGCTCTGAGCAAGAGGGACCAGGGCTCCCATCCCCGTCCTGCCATCCTCAGTGGGGCCTTGAGCCACCTACACAAATAATGTCTCCAAACCCCAGTATTCTCCTCTATGAAACAGGATAAGAAGAGGCTCTGCCTCATAGGTTGTTATGAGGACTGGATACCATAATATTTGAAAGTTAATGATCAGCACTGCTATGGAAAGAGACTGATTTCCTTCTGGGAAGGCCCCCTGTTCCAGCCTGCCAGGCTCCCCATTTGAAGCTCTGAACTTGACTCATGGCCCCAGGCAGCAGGCACCCCAGCACCTGTCTGCCCCTGATAGCTCACTGGCACCCTGGGTGAAGTCGGTGAGCAAACGGCCCTCCTTTCGAGAGTTCAGTTCAATTTTTCCAGCAGTCGAGCTGTGGAAGAGGGAATGGACTGTCCCAGGAAGTTGTGAGTTCCCCAAGACTGTATGCAAGAAGAGCCTGGCAACCAGCGCCCTGCAGGAATGCTATAGGCCAGGCGATTCAAAGGCAAATGGGAGCCTTGACCTAGATGGCTTTATGGTCCCCTCAGATCTGGGAGAAGCTGATTCTACAAAACTCACTCTCTACCCAACCTAGCAACACAATTCCAGCTTCAGTTTGGAATTCCTTCTTCCTCCTGCCACGAAGCCCTGACTGCCACCAGGAGTGCCAGTGAGCTGTTGGGGCTGACAGTCTGCCATGAGGGGCAAGTGGGCTGTGCTGAGATGCCTGGCTGCTTTGGGCCCAGAGTCAAGTTCAAGACTTGGAATGGGGAGTCTGGTAGGACCAGAGCAGGCCAGGAGCTGGCTGGGGCCCAGGTGTCATCAAGCTACAGCACAACTGCTTTTCAGGAGAGGAAGCAGCATTTTTGCCTTTTTCTACATGATCCAGAGGTGGGTCATGACATTGTGTGTGTGTGTTTGTGTGTGCGTGCATGTGCAATGAACCAGAAAAGAATACTAAATATCAGGCTGCATTCCAGGGCGTAAGGGATACTGTGACAGGTGGTAACTCTTTCAGGAAACACGTTGCAGTCACACTGCATGACTGTGCATTTGTGTACTGGACTGAGATGTCCGATGTATTTCTTACAGAGGCACATGGCTTAAAAAGCTTGAGAAATGCTGTTATTGGCAGTATACCCCCAAGTGCAGACCGAGGGCCACCAGTGCCAGATGCACCTGGAGTGTGTTTAAAAATCTCCCATTCCTACCCCCAGCCCAGGCCCACTGAATCAGAATCTCTGGGGCTGGCTTGGATTTGCCTTGTGGAGAGGCTCCCTGAGGGTTCTTAGCGAAGCTTAAGACTCTTCTCCAGGGAAAGATCTAGAGAAGGGTCTCCATTCCTAGTTATTCACAGCCATTCAGGGTATTTCACTTCCAAGGAGGCTGAGGCCACAGTGCTCTTCTGGCTGCTGGCTCATCGTGGGTGTTATGAGGTCAAGGCAGCCTCAGAAGACAGCGTTCCACGGTGCTGTGCTCACCTGGGGACGGAATGCCCAAATTCAAATCCTGGTGCTGTCACCTATTGGCAGTAGAACCTTGGATAAGATCATCTGATGTCTCTGAGCCTTGGTTTCCTGGCTGATGAAATGGAGGAAGACAGCACCTATCCCATGGGGTCTCGTGAGGGCTGCGGGACATCGGCGCCGAGCTGCTTCTTGCAGCCTTGGGGCGCGATCAGCACTCGGCGCCACTCTGTGACGGGATCACTGAAGGAAGCTCAGAAGCGGGAGTTGGAAGGCCGAGCATCTCCCTTGTTCCCCTTGCCTGTCGGTTTTCTCATATGCCAAATGTGGATAGTAATGCCCAGCCTGCCTGCCTGCCACACCACGTGATGGCAAATTCGAATGTTAATGTGGCCTAAAGCACTAAGGGCCTAATAGAGCCATGATGATGATGATGATGATGATGATGATGATGAAGGAAATGATATCAACAGTGGCTTTCCACTGGGGGGCTGAGTCCTTCTCGGGCTCAGAAATGTTTGCTCTCGTTGGGAGGCAGAGTGAGCCATGCATGGAGGTGTTAATGGCTTCGCAGACAAAAGCCATGATGCGCTCTGTCAGCTGCTGATATTAGCAGGGACAGACTTTCAAATCTACACCACTGGCTCACATTTCTATTGGAAAAGGAAGGAAAAAAAAAGGAACGGGGGATGTTTCTTCCATGAATGTCTGCAGATTATGAAAATTACCCTCATATATTTCCATAGAAACAGAGTTAAGGGCTGTTTAGACTACAAGAGAGGCTGCAGGCCCCGCCACTCCATTCTCTTTATGAGTCGCTGAATGACCCTACAAATAGGTTGTTCCTGCAGGACTGTAAATTAGGCGATTTATGGGGAGGCTTTTTTCTTTTCTTTTTCTCTTTCAGTAAGGAGAGGCAGACGCAGAATATCTCTTGGTTTAATTAAATAAACAGTTTCCCAGAAATTCTGGGTTATATCCTTTTCCTGACCCAGTAAGATCCTAGACCCTTGGAGAATCTAACAATGAAGTTTCCTGCTGCCCTGTGTTAGTTAGACTTGCTGGATTGCCCTGTTGATGGGGTGGGTTTTGCTGTCTGTCCTTACCCTGGAATGGTGGCATTCTCCAACGAGTGCTTCTCAAACTGTGGTCCCTGGACCAGCAGCGCTGGCATTGCCCGAGAGCTGGTTAGAAATGCAACTTGTCAGGCCCCACCCCGGCCTCCTGGATTGGAGATTTGGGAGGCAAGGAGGGAGCACTCTTGTGTTTTAACAAGTCTTTCAGGTGATGATGCTGATGCACGCTCCGGTTTGCCCTAAACTTTGCTCCCGAAGCTTTCTGTGATGCACAACTTACCCATCCATTCCGGAGGCACTCATTTTTCTCTCTAAGGTGAAAACTCTTCCCCACTCTGCCTCCAGGCCTGGCCCTGTCCCTCACCTGACTCCTGCTCTCAATGGGACATTTCCTCTTCAACGTCCGCCTGTTAGCACCAGCCCACTGCCTTCCTCAAAGCTGAACTCCTTGAAATTCGGGCCTTGTTCCTCACCAGCTACCAGGTGCCTCAAGCCCAGCCTCTGATCCTCGCGTCTACCTCCTGTCCCCAGGCTATGGGGGTGGCTCCTGGATCATGCTGCCCCCTGTCCATAGCCCTTCCCTGGTATCTGTCTGCAACTCCTGTCTAAGAGGTAGTGAATTTAGGGAGGCCACGTGGAATTGTGGAAGAGAATAGACTTTGGAGGCTGACAGATGGTGACTTTGAACTTACAGCCCAAGGGGACAAGCGAGTCACTCAGTATCTCTGAACCTCAGTTTCTTTTACTACAGAAAGGGATACTTTTGACCTTGCACGGTTTGCGAAGAACAGACATAATGCTTACAACCCGCCTGGCTCACAGTGGCAGTGCAGTAAGTGGCAACTATTCCAAGCTGACATGATGCCCTCCCACAGCTTGGCTCCTCACAGAAGACAGCCTTGGCTCGCCTTCCAGTAAAACTTGAAGTAATCTGAGGGAAGCAGTCATGTCCCTGGACACCGAAGTGGTGTGTGACTTTGGGCAAATCACTTCCCTTCTCTGAGTCTCAGCTTCCTTGTCCGTGAATGAAGGGACAGGACTGGCTGGATTTTAAAGGTCTCTTTGAGCACGCCTGGACTTCCAAATCCCTCATGGCGCCTGGCGCTGTGCTGGGTGCACCTAAGGCAGGCAAGGGAACCCTTGTGAGTGACTCCCCGTAGCGGACTGGGGCTGGTGGCGGCTGGCTCCTTCCAGGCCGCCTCCCTCGAAGTGGGAGGGACCCCCTTACCAAGCAAAGGGGGAAGCCAGTTGACATTGGCTTCACAGTGTGAATCCAAGAATGTGATGACGTCCCCAGTTGCCACGGAGGCCCCCAGCATCCGGGTCCTGATGAGCCCCTCCCGTTTCTTGGTTCGGAGAATCCTCACACTGGGGAAAAGAGCCATGTAGTCTTCAAGTGGCTTCTTCAGGTGCTCTGTGAGGGAGACAGGAGAGGAGAGATGGGTAAGAACAGTTGCTTAGTAATCGTTGTTATGATTGCTCCCTTACGTGTGCGCTGCACTTTACAGTCTAGACACGGCTTCCCTGTACACTGCCTCATCGGACCTTTCAGATAGGGCCAAGAAGGGCAGGGATCACCACCTGAGCACTACAGATGGGGAAATGAAGGCTCAAAGAGGTCCAGAGATAGTGTTCAGACCTGGAACACAGAGAGTCCAAGGTTGTGGACATTTGTGGTTTATGCCTGGTGGGGACCCATTCCCTCACTCTCTGGTAACGACATCTTGGTTTTGAGACACCACCCCTCCCCTTCTCAGTCCATCAACCCTGGGTGGGGCTGACCCCATGTCCCAGTTCAAGGGAGGAGCCTGTGCTGCAGGCCTGACCAATCAGGGCATTCCATTCCCTCAGCCACAGCGATTGGCTCAAGGATGGCCATGTGACCTGAGTTGGTCCAGAGGATTAGTCCTGAGACTGTTTTTCAGAACTATTGAAAAATGAGGCCCTTCCTTTTTGCTAGAGTTGCTAGTTGGTTGGCCATAAGTCTGCAGCTGCTGGCGACATCTTTGACAAAATAAGGCGATGAGAGACGGTAGGGAGAATCTGCTGAAACCGAAGCCAACGTGTAAAAATGACAGTCGAGAGATAACGACATTGTCTTGATGACATTTCGATTCCCCAGACGCCCCTGTGCCTGATGTCCTCGATGTCCCCATCACATACGGCAACAAACCCCTCTCCTTGCTTATGCTAATGCGGGTTGGACTTCTGCCCTGTGCCCAGAAAAGCTGTTTTGAATAAATACCAAAGACAGCTTCTTTCTACTAAAGTCCCAGCCTTACTGTTGGTGTCTCTGATTTTAATCAGGGTTAGGGTCCTCTATAAAGACTCCAGAATGGCTACAAAAGAAACCTATAGTTTA